CTTTACTTCCTAAGTTTGCATCCCTAAACACTGTATGGTTTAGTTTTGCCTGTTTTTCTACTTTCATGTAAGAAAGAATCATACATTGAATGCCTTCGTGAGTGTGGGTTCTCTTGCTAACATTACACTTCTTACTCACCTGCTGCTGCTTGTAGCTGTAGTTCATTTGTTTTCATTGCTGTGTAGTATTCCATTTTATGAATGTGCCACAGTTTGTTTATGCTGTTGTTCATAAATTCCTGGGTTCTTTGCCAGTTTTTAGCTGCTGTGACTGTTCATGTATGTGTCTTACATATTTATGCTTATAGTTGTGAATAATTCTAGAAGTGGAATTGCTAGATCACTAATTAAACATGTTTAACTTTATCGTTTGTTTTTCAGCAAGTCATTAAAAAGGTCCAGCTTATTCTAACAGGATATTTTTAACCATTTCACTTAAACATGTTTAACTTTATTAATAGACAATTCCACATCATTTCTCAGCGAGGTTATCAGTTCATAGCAGCCCCACCAGCAGTGCAGAGTCCCCAGTGCTTCACATTTTCATCAGCACTTGGTATTTTTCAGATTTTGAATTTAGCCATTTTTACTGAGTATTGTAGTGGTATCACTTTAATTTTCCATAGTTACAAGTAAGATTGAATACTTAGCTTCTCTTCCTGTGTTTATAGACCATTTGATACTCTCTGTTTTGAAATGTCTGTTCTGCCCATTTCTTCTGTTGAGTTGTTGGCCTTTTTCTTATGGATGAGTTCTTTATACAGTCTGGATATAAGCTCTTTGTCATTTGTGTTTGTGCCAGATATCTTTTCTCACTCTATAGCTTGCATTTTCACTCTCTTGATATCTTTTGATGAGTAAAAGTTCTGAATTTTAGTGTAATCCAGTTTATCAATATTTTTCTTTCTTTTAATGTAACATAAGGTTTGCCACGTTAAGCATTTTAAGAATTTTTGTTCATTTATTTTATTTATTTAATGAATTTATTTATTTTTGGTTGCTGGCCAGTGCAGGGATCAAACCCTGGCCCTTGGTGTTATCAACACCAAGTTCTAACCAACTGAACTAACTGGCCAGCAATATTTTTGTTTACAGTTAATGTTTTTTATTTTTTGTTTAAGAAGTTTTTTTCTAACTTTAGGTCATAGAGATATTTGTCATTATCTTCTAGAAGCTTTATAGAAGTGTGTTTTACACTT